AAGTCTACTCCCAGTAAAAGTGACAAAACCAATTATGTTGACATAAGATGGCGACGAGCTCGTCGTTAACTATAAATTTACTATAATTTTAGTGTAAATATGTTTTTGGTATTTAAATTTAGTTTTGTACGCCTATAATACCATCTTATCTAGCATTTGATAAACAAATGTCGAATTTAAATTACAAATAAGACAAGTTTTAAAACTCTTGAAAATATTGATTATTTCTATCAGATGCCACTTGTCAGATGTACATTTCTTTTGATAACGAAATAATGTATTTACATTACTACTGTTCAGAATATGTTTAATCAGAATATAACTTTTTTACCAAGGTCGCTTGGAATGTAAATTCCTCTTGTTTTCAGAATTTTTTTAAACAATCATATCTGGCTTATATTAGATTAAATTTCGTTACGACTACCAGCCATGTAGCCTCCTCCATCTCGACATTTGCAGATCTATTGTCGATATTCTTTAATCGTTGTTTCGTTTGGTCTTTTAAAGTAGACTCCATGGACTAAGAAGTAGCTTCCGGTGTAGCGATTTTCCATTGGTTTTTCTTCTACAAATGTGAGGAATCTCAATCTTGATAGACCTTTGTAGTAGCATAATATGTGTAATCTTCCTGACAGAATCAGCACTTCTTTCGATAATAAAATAATATATTTATATTACTACTGTTTAAAATACCTTAAACTTGGCAGCGATATTGAATCGGAATATTGCTTTTATACCAAGATCGCTTAGAATAATTTGGTATTCCTTCAACTGTACAATATTTAACAAGAATGGCTAGAGATGTTAGCATATAATAGAAATCCAAACAAAGAATAATGTTTACGCTTTTTTATGCCATAACAATTTTGATGTAGTCTGTAATCTATAGTACCCAACAAACATTCGTCTTTGAGTTTTGTGGTTCTTGTCTTATTAAAGGAGTTTCTAGCCATCTTTCTGAGATGATTCAAATGCGGCAGTGTTGTGATCATGTTGGACCACCAGCCTCAGGAGACAGGATTTTTTTATAGGCATTGTTTATTATGCTTTGAATAGTGTTCGAGTACTTTTACAAAGCATGGCTTCTTGAAGGAGATGAACATAGGTTGTCCTGTCCGTCTTCCTAGGGTTCCGAGATGTTGTGGAGATCGGCAACCTCAAGTTTATATGAACCAGCTGTGGTCTGACATCAAAATGTTATTTATTTATTTATTTTCAAAAAGGAAAACAAGATGGGACGATCCCAAAACAGTTTTCACAATTATTATAAACCTAAATCTAAGCATACAAAAAGTATTAGTGATTAATAATGATATAATGGTATATTAAATAACATGAGAAAAAAAAATAAGAAATTAATACTCAATCCAAATGTGAAAGATTAAATTTTTTTAAGTTATTGGTGAAAATTATCTAAGAATCAGAGAAAATGTCAATGTCAGTGAGAGTTGAGATTGAGTTGAACGATTTGCTACATCTCTGCAAAGGATAGTTTAGGTGGTAATTTGTGGAACTTTGATTAATATTAAATGTGTATTTATTTCTAGTATTATAAGAGGGAATAATAAATTGTATTTTACTCTAGATGGCACTGGAGTCAATTTGGTTATACACAATTTTAAAAATAAATTTGATATCTGAAATGGAAAAATTGTAGGAAAAGTGCTAAATTTAAATTTTTCAGTATTTTCGTTTTCAATGAATATCTATAGAAAAATGTTTCGAGGTAGAAGTATGTGGAAAATGTATATATTTAGTTTGTCCTCTAAAAATTTATAGAGGTGCTGCAATAGGTTGTACAAAATAACCGGAAAAAGCCTATAATAACTAGATAGGAAAGTCATGTGTTGGACACATCAGATTTTTAAGTAAAATAGCATGATCAATCTTGTCGAAAGCTTTACTAAAATCGGTATACTTGTATACTTGTGTTCCTCTTTTCATATTTTCTAAGAGATAATCTGCGTACAAAAATAAGTTGGATTCTATTGAACGACAAGTGGGTATACTATCGAAGCCAGCAGTTTTATCTGGAAGTTTTAAAAACTTGTCAAGAATTGTTGCTTTTAAAATAAAATAATTACTTATGTGATGTGTGGTGTGATGCCTGTCATTAATTAATATATTATTATTAGAAGGATTGAACACAGAATTAAAGTAACCTAAAAATATTTTACAAATCTTATCACCTTTAGTTATCATTCTGCCACCATCTTTCAACGCATTAATGGCATAGGATTTGCCTTTTTTAGATTTAATAAACTGCCATAAGTTTTTTGGGTTACAAGTGATTGAAGTTTCAATTTGCTTAAGATAGTTCTTGTAGTCATATTCAATTAAGTATTTTGAACGTCCACGTAACAATTTAAATGTTAAGTTATTGTGATACTTTTTCCATTTAATATGAAATTTTCCCTTTTCTTTGATAACTTTTATTGTTTCAATTCTAAACCAAGGTGAGTAATAGGACTTAATTTTTTGGTACTTAGGAACATGTTTCTTCAAAAGGTTATAAAAAATTTTATAATATTTCTGAACACTATCGTTCGTATTGAAATTTGAAAATTCCTTTGTCTAATCAAAGGACTTGCCAGTTTATAATTGATACCAGTTGTGGATAAAGTGATATCTACTCGTTAACTGTTTGACTGCAAGAGTTTAAAAATGTTAATGTAGTACCTTTATTTAAAATTCAAAGATTTTTGTTAATTATATAATTATAAATAGACTTACCTCAGCGTTGTCATCCTTACTGCCCCAACTAAAGTGATGAGCATTTGAGTCGCAAACCTATTTTCAGCTCAAACTTCTGATTCAGGCAGTATTTATTCAGATCCTTCATTTCTTTGAGGGGTGGATGCATGAATGCAGATGCCAGGATCAACGTTTTTTCTTTCTTTTTGATATGGTATTCTATCCCAACATTATATTTTTAAATCGGAGGTAGGTAGATACGCCATTGAGTGGGCTTTATATTTCTTAGGAATGTTAATGGCTGTCATAGGTTATTGGTGCTAAAAATTGATTTCTAAGGCTTAAAATTTTGGTTTTTAATATTAAGGGTTCCTGGATGAGTGCTATTGTATCTTGCATCTCATGAAGGCGGCGGCCTAATTTTGCCGTAACTACCCTTTTGTGCTACAAGTTACATTGTATGATTGCTACATTCGCTTTTCTTGATTAAAACAAGTGAGTAATTGCATTTATGCGTGTATTTTGCACTGTACCTTTTTTACAACCACCTGAGAGATTTTGCTGAAAATAAATCTGCAAATAAATTAATTTCAAAACAAATATTATAACTTCCATCTACTTCCATCGGTTCTTTTATGACTTGGTTTATTTCTTCAGATAGCAGAGTCCGCTCTTCAAATACATCGATATGTCATCAATACCATAAATGATATTAAAAGTTAAAAATTTGATGTTATTAAACACTCCATTAAATATTAAATAGGGATTGCTAAAGAGCAGGGGTGGCTTGTGACTAAAATTTTGGATGTTCACGGTAGCAGAATATAGATCCCGGTACAGATATAGGTAAAAACTGTCATTGCTTTAGAAAGGTATATTATAAACTTTCTAAAACACTAAAAGTATTTTTCATACATCTGTGCTAATACCTATATTCTGTCACTTTGAACCCCCCGCGAGACGCCACTGCTAAGGAGTTAGAAACAAGAAATACTTGCCTATTAATCTGCAGTAAATAAAAATTAATTTAATGTATGAAATCAAATTGATAATACCTTTAAAATAAAAATGTGGTGCTATAGATAATTCAGATATTAAAAAATGTAGATTAAATAATATTTATCATATTTATCACTTTTTAATATATAACCAATCGAAAATATAATAGAGATTAGAAAATATAAGTCATTTTTTGTTTACTTTTATTCCGCTTACTAGATTTTGTAATTTAAATTACAAAAGAGATCCTACATTATGATCTATGTTTGATGGTTCCTAAAAACTCCTTTATTCAAAACTTCATTTTATATAAATTTTCTCATAATTTTTTTAGTATACAAAAAACAAGTTTACATTTTTTTTATAATATTCTTTATAAAATTTTCTCTTACTTCAATTAGTGATGCCTAGAAAGCTTAGCCTTTAACCTGTTGTACTTCCCTAGAATGGTTATGTGTTTGTGGAGCCTGATGTCTGGGCAATTTTCTTAATGTTTTTCTTAAACCGATTTAACTTAGAGTTCTAGGTACAGGTCTTTATTCCGAACATACTAAGGAACAGTAACTATGTTCTTGCTTTACTGGCTTTAAATTTTGTTTGTAAATCAAGACTTTATTTTGAGTGGAAAGTGAAGAATGCTTTCCTGTCAACCAAAACATATTTTTATATTTAATCTTTGGCTGTTTAGTTTTCATTTTTACGTGCTCCTCCCTTTTTACTTTATTATCCAGATTTAGACACAAATATATTGCTATTTTCTTATTCGATATATTGTTGTTTAAGTTTATTGGTATGCTATTGATTCAGCTTTGAAGATTAGCTGCTGTTTCTTCTATAGTTGATCCTGTGGATAAAAACAGCTGTAACACCAGCGAATGTAGCTAACTTAACAGCTTTTTAATAAATGGTTTGGAAGTTATTTGTACCTATTTAAATGTTTTTTTATTTTATTATCCAAATTGCCGCGCTCCGCTACGCGTCACGCGGCAACTTTTTGTGTTAAGCGACACAGTATCACTTTTCGCTTTTAATACACAAATAGCATCGGTTTAGTTGGAAATTAATAAAAAATATATATCACAAATTATTTTATAATAATTTTGTATAAAAAAAATTTGAAAATTATATCAAATATGTAATATTAAAACACTTTAATTTTGCCTTGGTGGGCAACTAATAATCTTATATTATTGATTGCATAGTTGTGTATAGATTTAAACTGACCGCTACAACATTCTTTTTATTCATGAGGAAAACCACTTATTTAGTAATTAGTAGCGATAAGCAATGGTATATTGAACTTACTTAACTGTAACAAATTAAAATATAAACTCATTCTCGTTAATATTTGAAGAACAACAATAATTTCTGCAGTTCAATATCGACTATCTCCTAATATCAGAAAATCGAAAGCCGGAAAAGTGTACATTTCAGTGAGTATTCCATTGGATACGGTAGAAGTGATTTTGCATTATATTGAAGGATGATTTTAAAAAATGTTTAATTGCGTAAGTAATATAAAAATAATTAAATATTTTATTTAATATTTAAATATGAGGGGACCCATATGTAGGTATAGGGATTATTAATAAAATAATAATAATAATAATAATAATAATAATAATAATAATAATAATAATAATAATAATAATAATAATAATAATAATAATAATACTCTTGCTAATTAACTCCCTTATAAGTGAATTTAAACACCTGAAGCCGACTGAGCTTGTGTGGGGAAGGAACGACTATTATTATTTGGCCTGGCGCTCTGGGCCGATTGTGCTATTTGACTTAGGCGAGAAAACCTCGGAAAACCTCACCCACCATCATTGAGTACGGAAGTGGTAGAAAAAATTAATTTTCGGAAAGTTATTTTTATCTTACAACCGATTTAGAAGTGTTCCTTCATCTTTGGATGCACCATAACATACCTAGACAACACACCAAATACCAGAGATATCCACAGGATATCTTTTGTATGTATCCAATATATCCACAAGATATTATGGATATCCAGTGGATCTAATGTGGATATCCAAATGTCCGTCTATATCCAGGATATAGAAGGTATATAAATATCCAGAAAAATACCTAATGGGTACCTTTAGTAGAGGTTCATAAGTAACCAATGGATATATCCTATATAGATGTTTAACATAGTCAGTGTACATCCATTATTTGATATATTTAAGATATTGAAAATTATATGCCTATAGGGTGTCGTATTTAATGCTTCATTAATTTTTTTTTTTTTTTGAAAGATAAGTGGAACAATGTACTGCATAATCTTAATCATTCCATATAAAGAAAACCAGCATTTCAGTAGCATAACATCGGAACGCCCTATATTTTTAATTTGGTATACACACCCTTACAAGGTTTACTATTCTAGTGCTAGTGTTAACTATTTCTAACGCTACACAGCATAGGTATAGCGTGTAGAGTAGAAAGAGTATCAACATTTTATTTTTACAATTAAATATTGTACACCATACCTAAAAAACCACTAAAATGTCTTTAAATATGTGAAGTAAGTTTTAAACTTAATACAACGCACGAGTAATCTAACATATAAGCATCTTACAAATAAATCTTATTAAGTTTAGTTAGGTAAAACAGAGACATATATTATCAGCCGGCTAAATTTATTTAAAAAAAGGAAACTATTGTATAAACATACTATATTATATTAAATAACATATTACATTTAAGCTGACGAATGAACATAGTACCCACAGCTAAGGAAAACCTAAACCTATTCACACATACACACACATTATATATAGGCGCCGAAATTTCAACTGGAATTTTCTTTTCTGTTGTAGAATTCCTCAAAAAGGGAAACTATATTTTAAATCAAGCTATATCCAAAACGAGAATAAAGTCTGAAAAAAGCCTTTCGTGCAGAGTGTCACTTATACAATATATAACACTAATAATTTAGAAGGGCTGGATCTGTGTATATAATATACCTATTTATCTAAACTGTTGGTCCAGCTAAACATAACCTAACCTTACTTGTTAAATTCATCATGCATGCTATTGAATACAAGGCAGATGTAATAAGATTACCTTAACCATTGAAAAAATAGCACTTTCTAATTAATTATAACAACCATTAAAAAAAAAAAAACAAACCGAATCACCAACAATAATACTTAATCACACGAAATAAGTAAGTATATGAAGATAGGTAGGTAAAATAACATCCATCTTAATTATAATAAAATAGGGTGTCTTAAAAACGTAAAAACGACATGAATTTCTATTTGTGAATTACCTTCTTAACAATCTTAATAACGTGAATTTAACCATTGTCTTATTTAACTATAGTCCATCCACCTTTTACACTAATAAATTTAGGTTTTACAGCTTACTTACCTCCTTTTAATCAGAAATTATCAAATGAAACTCATGCACGCGACACAAACAAAACGTGGATCAATGCGGTGTACTTCTGTATTCCATCAAAAATCTGTTAACCAATAAATGTAAGTCATTTTCATTATATCCGGAACTTACAGATTTTATTAAACTATTTTTAATGGTTCTAACAAAATTTTTCGCTGCACCATTCGTGGCTGGATGATATGGAGGACTATGCTTAATTTCACCATTTTGTTTGAGAAAACTATTAAATTTGACAGAACAAAAATATGCTGCATTGTCTGAAACTAATACTTTAGGAAACCTGAACCTCGCGAATAACCCTCGTTATACTTAATACAAGAGCCTCTGGCCATTTCGAAAATGTATCTATGATTACTAAAATTTGTTTATCAAAAATAGGACCTAAAAAATCAATATATATTCTTAACCACGAACCAATTGGATATTCCCAATTTAGTAATGATGGCTTTGGGGGAATAACGACGAGCTAAGCAGGAAGGACACGGTTTGATTGTTCTTTCAATATCATTATTTAGTTTAGGCCATCATAGGTAAGAACGAGCCAGACTTTTCGTATTTACCATGCCCATATGAGAACTGTGTAACATTTTTAAAATATCACCCTGTAAATTCTCTGGAACCACTACTCTATTTCCAAACATAAGGCAATTCTTTATAATTGAAAAAGAATATTTGTTATCAAAATAAGGCTTAAAGATATTTTCAACATTCCTTGGCCAACCGTTTTTTACAAAATGAACAACCTTTTTCAGTATAGGATCTTGCAAACTATAATCTGCTACTAAATGATAATCAAGAGGCAAGTGCTTATTATCAGATACATAATTAATAACAAATGACAAATCGTCATTATTTTCAATGTAATTTCTCAATGGCAAAGGAGAAAAAAAATCTGCAATATTTTCAATACGACATTCGATATGTAAAAGATACCGAATGTCGTATTGAAAATTTGCTAAGATCAAAGCCCACCTCCGCAATCTATTAGCTGCATACATTGGAATGCCCTTTTTAGGACCAAAAATTGCTAGAAGAGGCTTATGATCTGTAAATAAAATGAATTTATTGTGAAGTAAATATTGATAAAATCTTTGAACACCAAATACAATACTTAAAGCTTCTTTTTCTATTTGAGAGTATTGCTGTTCACTTTTATTAAGCATACGTCAAGCATACGTCAAGCATATTCGATGAGCTTATAAACATTATCCAAGCTATGACAAATGACTGCACCTACCCCATATTGTGAAGCGTCTACAGCCAAATAAATCCGCTAATCTGGATTAAAATATACTAAACCTCAGCAGAACACAAAATCTTTTTAATGTTATTAAAAGCTTTCAAACAACTTTCATCAAAATTCTAATTAACTTTTTTTTTACATAGATTATATAGTGACTGAAGAACTGCAAATGCATTTGGTATAAATTTATTATAATAGTTAATGAGTCCTAGTATTGTGTTTAATTGAGTAACATCACTAGGTATCGGAGCATTATTAATTGCATCAATTTTATCTTGACATGTATGCAAACCATCCAAATAAATTTTATTAAATAAATTTTATAATGAATTTTCAGTGGCAATTAAGCTCTTTTTAATAAAGGATATATTCATTTGAATCTAAAAAAACAGTGCACAGCCTAAATTTTTCAAGGCAAGAAGCTTGCCATTTTCCCCAAAAGAAGCTGTTGAAAAAGAGACTGATGGAAGATAATGATTACAGTGTAACATTAAATCCTAATTTAGAGATTAATAAATTTCCCTTTCCTAGTATAGAAGAACTATTTGTTAAATTGCAGGGTGGGAACATATTTACTAAATTAGATTTATCCAGTGCTTATCAGCAAGTACTACTTTCTCCAGAATGACACACAAAAGTTTGTTTTGTTATAACAGACTTCCTTTTGAAATCCATTCAGGTCCTTCTAAATATCAAAATACATTGTTTAATGGTATGAAGGGTGTTACTTGTTTCCAAGATGATGTATTCATTAGTGGTACAAATTTTAATGATTATGTTGATAGAATTAGGTCTGTACATGGTAAGCTACCTGATAATGGTTTAACAGTTGAAAAATAAATGTCAATTTTTTGAGGAATATATTACATATGTTGGTTTCAAAATTGACAAGGATGGTTTGCATACATGTCAAGATAAAATTGATGCAATTAATAATGCTCCGATACCTAGTGATGTTACTCAATTAAACTCAATACTAGGACTTAATTAACTATTATAATACATTTATACCAAATGCATTTGCAGTTCTTCAGCCACTATATAATCTTTGTAAAAAAAAGTTAATTAGAATTTTGTTGAAAGTTGTTTGAAAGCTTTTAATAACGTTAAAAAGATTTTGTGTTCTGCTGAGGTTTAGTATATTTTAATCCAGATTTGCCGATTTATTTGGCTGTAGACGCTTCACAATATGGGGTAGGTGCAGTCATTTGCCATAGCTTGGATAATGTTTATTAGCTCATCGAATATGCTTCACGTATGCTTAATAAAAGTGAACAGCAATACTCACAAATAGAAAAAGAAGCTTTAAGTATTGTATTGGGTGTTCAAAGATTTTATCAATATTTACTTCACAATAAATTCATTTTATTTACAGATCATAAGCCTCTTGTAGCAATTTTTGGTCCTAAAAAGGGCATTCCAATGTATGCGGCGGTGGGCTTTGATCTTAGCAAATTTTGAATTCGACATTCGGTATCTTTTACATGTCGAATGTCGTATTGAAAATATTGCAAATTTTTTATCTCCTTTGCCATTGAAAAATTACATTGAAAATAATGACGATTTGTCATTTGTTATTAATTATGTGTCTGATAATAAGCACTTGCCTATTGATTATTATTTAGTAGCAAATTATAGTTTGCAAGATCCTATACTGAAAAAGGTTGTTCATTTTGTAGAAAACGGTTGGACAAGGAATGTTGAAAATATCTTTAAGCCTTATTTTGATAAAAAATATTATTTTTCAATTATAACGAATTGCCTTATGTTTGGAAATAGAGTAGTGGTTCCAGAGAATTTACAGGGTGATATTTTAAAAATGTTACACAGTTCTCATATGGGCTTATAATA